GTCGCGTTTTGGTCGGTAATTGGCCATAACCGACCAACTTTGATCGGTTTTTTTAGTCGGTTTTTTTGGTCGATTTTTAGCGAATTTCTAATTGTGTTAGGGAAAAACCAACCCAAACAGAACATGAATACCCCTACTTACAATGTAGTGTAGAGACCATTAAAGGAGAATCGCTCCTACCATAAATTTCTTTATTCTCATGGTTTAATTTAGGGACATATCGTTAAGGTTGAAGAGATATCATTATCCCACCAAACTTTTCTGTCCGCACATCCATTGCCCTTTTTTAGTTAGCAAAAAGATAAGTTGCAGAAAAATTTATAACCATTATAGCGGTACATTTTAACCTTACTTTACCTAACGCGACATAAGAGGGGTCCATTTATTGGATATGTGGAAACTTGAGTAATATTCCTTGCAAAGATGTTGGCCCCATAAATCCCTTTTTTGATCTTCTTGGTGCCTTCTCTTTTTTCATTTTCTTTTCAATTTGACACTTCATTCTATTTTCTCCTTTCCATGTTATGTTTTCCAGTTTAGAACTAACCCATGACCTTGTCATCCCCATCTCCCTCGACCCTCATATTTAAAAGCAGCTTTAATCTCCCTAGTATTTAAGAAAAAAAGAAGAGGTTATTGAATATAGTGGGCGTTTGGACATAAAAATTGTAAATTCCGGAAAAAAATGAAAACAAAATTTAAGTGAAAATGATATTACATGAATACAATTTGAAACTATTTTTGAATTTTTGTGAGTGATCTGAAAAATTCCCAAATCAACTTCAAGTAAAATTTAAAATTTTCATAGACAAACACTGATTTCGAAAAAAGTTAAAATTATTCGAAAAAAAGTGAACAATTTCTTATGGTCAAACGGATCCATAGTAGCGCTAGTTTTTGAATGAGAAAGGAGAAAGGGCATGGAAGAGATTGTAAAGTTCAAAAACCTAGCAACAATAGCCGAATCAAAATTTTCACTACGAAGATAAAAAATATAAAGGCACACAAAGAAGCCTATGGTAAAGCTTTTCCATGAACATGTATATGACTATATAGCTTTCAAATTATAAAATGTCAATAGCTATGAAACGAAAAGAGAATGTATGTGGCTATTGAGCCTAATTTAAAGATTATGTTTAAGGGCCAAAACTGCCAATGTTTTTATGAAAGGGCCAAAGGTGCCAAAGTTAATGCAACGTTTTTGGGAGTCTTATTATGTAACCGAGAAGGTATTGGTCAAAAGGGGGCCAATACCCAAGCTATACGTGCCGGTGTAGGACTATGGTCGTACTATTGGCTTGGTCGATTAGATAGTCAACCTTGGAACGAGTTCCCTTTGTTAGGATTAACAAAATGGTAGCAAACTAATGTCGATCCACATGGCATTACGGTGAGATGGCTTAGCCAATCGAACCGAGATCGTACTCCACGCGGTACACATGGTAATTTAACAAAATGTCGGTAAGTAATGAACTCCCATCAAAAGTTATAAGTTTGTTTAAAGCTTCAAACTTAGTTATGAATTATGAAATGTTTTCAATTGCTTAATGGATCTTTTTATGAAAGTGTTGACGAAATTGATTATTTCTGAAATTTGCATATTACCTCTTCATGTTTCCTTTAAATGTTCTCGTCCTTTTTTTCTTTTTTTTTATGTGAGGGAATTGACAATATATAGGAGTACTTTTCATTATGTACTTAAGTCCCTTTGGCCGGGACACTGCATATCTTCGTGGATACATGTATTAACACTTTTGGACGATGTCGATCATCGCTAGGGACTCCTTCATTTTCCAACTGACTATAATGAACCCGCTACTATTTCAATGGGTATTTCGAGTCTCGTTTATTTATGCTTTTAAGTGATCATTGTCATAAGAGCTATGTGTACATTGTTGATAATGTAATTATGTATGGAACATAGTCATTGTATTCACGAAATTATGTATAAAGTTTTTAAAAGATTTATGGACTATCATGCAGAACATTAGTGACTTTAAATTCTTTTGAGAATTTCTTTATCGTGATATATGATCGTCCAAGACTAAGAATGAATCAAATGTTGGTTCATTTGGACACAAGTTCAAGCCACCGGGTGTCAGTGTCATGCTCCTCCAAGTTTTGGGGCGTGACACATTAATTAGAATGGCACAAATAGTATACAAGATGAGGTCCAATGGTGTATGTTATTTGATATCGTGTTAATAGACGAAATTACCGAGAAAGTCAACTAAAAGCCTAAATAATGGAGAAAAACTCTAGAGAGTAAGCCTTAGGTCCATTAATTGACAAGAGTCTTTTACTTAACAAGTAACTTTACTTAAGAAGTAAATACAAGTTATGCTACCAAAGTTCTAACTTTTTTATCATCCACAATCGAAAAACACGCAAATGTGGAAAAGATTTTCTGAAGTTATATTATAAGCAACGGTATTTTGTTCAGACAGTAATCAGGAATTCACATTACACTCAACTATTCAACTAAAATTGCACTACAATGATACAAATTGACACAAAAATCATGAGAAGACACGCAGGAATGAGGATAAAGAGAAGTTTGCAGACCTGAGGAGTGCAGAGGTGTTCGCAGGATGAGGGTTTTATTGTAAAAGATCTCTTTGACGACATGGGTGGGACGAGAAAATAGGAGTGAAGGAAGTACTCTTCTGAGAATCGGAAGTGAGGCTAAGCCACTGGCAGCCATGGTCGACACTCGTAGTGCGCACATTAAAATTTGTGCGACTGGGGCATAGTTACTGTGTTATATAACGGATTGGGGGAAAGAGAATAATTAAATAAACACCTATTCCGTGAGAAACTTTTATAATATTCACTAGGTTATAAACTTTGGTGATACTATTTTTTTATTTATTAAATAAGAGCCTGCCTTTTCTTTTTGTTATAAAAGTTAAATGTTTGTATTAACATAAGAAGATTCTTCCGCATTAAAATTTAGTGTACTTGTTGCTCTTTTTATTCTCATTAATTATTATATTTTCTTGTTATTTACCGAAATATTATTTTTGTGAGTTTTTTGACATGACTTTCGAAACTACAATATTCTCTTTTTTTTTGACTTGATATTCTGTACTTTTTTTTATTTTTATGGTGACAGCACTTGATACTCTGTACTAAAGTGGAAAATTTTGAGGAAAATTCCTAGAATTATTTCAGTAATTATACTTTCGACTTTTAAAGATCCAGTTAAATAACCGTCAAACTTATTTGGACTTTGACATACAACAACAATAACAAACCCAGTGTAATTATACAAGTGGGGTCTGAGGATGGTAGTTTATACGCATACCTTACCCCTACCTGTAAGAAGGCATAGAGGTTGTTTCCGGCAGACCATCGACTCACGAAAAATAAAAGTAAGGGACAATAACAAGCAAACTAATGAAAACCAAAGAAGTATCTTTTAAACTAATGAAAACTGAGTAATGCAATCAGAAAATCGAAACGAAAGCAATAACAAGTAGGACTTTGACATACTGTGTTTCAAATAGTATCTTTTAGTAGGCGTTTGGACATAAGAATTGTAAAATTCCAAAAATGGTGAAAAGAGTTTTCAAGTGAAAATGGTATTTGAAATTTAGAGTTGTGTTTAGACATAAATTTCAGTTTGGGTTGTTTTTGAAGTTTTGTGAGTGATTAAGTGAAAATTTTAAAAAATAACTTTTTGGAGTTTTTCAAATTTTCGAAAATTTCCAAAATGTATTTTCAAGTGAAAATTAAAAATTTTATGAATAAACGCTGATTTCGAAAAAAAGTAAATTTTTTTTGAAAAAAAGCAAAAATAATTTATGTCCAAATGGGCTCTTGGTTTAGCTCTATGATCAAGGATCCTATAAAAGTATTAAGATGAATTCTTACCTTGTCCCTTGAAAGTCAAGCTTATCATCTCTAAAAGGAAAAAGAAAAAGAAGGAAAATAAGAGAACATACAACTTACGAATCTATTGAGGTCTCAGGTTCAAATTCTAACGGAGACAAAAAAATATTAGGTGATTTCTTACCATCTATCCAAGCTTTGACGGATAGTGTTATTTGGTACTTGTTACTGATGAGAAGTGATAGGCATCCCTTGAAATTAGTTGAGGTATGCGCAAACTGGTCGGGATACCACGGTTATCAAAAAAATAATAATAAGAGAACGTACAAATTAAGCTGATAGAATATTTGCGAAAACGAGCATATGTAGACTTCTGGGAGCACATGAGAAGGGGAGAGCATACCAACAGAAAAACAAACTCGATAAAAGCCTGGACATACCTCACTCAATATAACATAAAATATGCACTCCTAGGTTAACAGAGTTAAAGGCTATCTTTCTATGTAATAACAAGCAGGAAGATCATAAAGAACTCAAATGTTTACAATTAAATGCCAAGATGAAAATCTTTAGGCAAGTTCCAAAACTTGAAACTACACCAATCAAAATCAAACATGCATAAAATACTCTTTTCTGTAAGTATCTGAGAAAGCCTTATCTACCGCAACATTATGACTTTTCCATCCTTAGTCAAGGATGCAAAAAGTAGGCATGACTTAACATTACAAAAACACAACTTGTTAATATAAAATTGTAAGCAATACCAAGTTTTTCCCTCTTTTACTCCCCCTCTACTTTTGACTTTCATAATAATCTAGATAAGATACTTATATGCTATTAGTAGTGGTGGAATTACAAGAGCAGCCCATAGCCAATAGTTCATTATCTTTTTGCGCTTCAGTATATTTTTAGGACTATCCACGCCTTTTGCATGCTTTGGTCGACTCCTGATAGTATTCTCTTTCGGCGCCTTAATCTTAGGTGCAATTGATGTTTTAACATGTTCCTCCACCTTCTCTTCCTCATCAACTTCCGTAGCTGCTTCAGTTGGTTCCTCAGTAGATTCTTCAGCAGCAACATATGCTCCAGTTTTCTTCTTCGCCTTCTTCTCACGTTCCTGAAAGGAGTAAAGATAATACATATAAGTTCATAGTTAATGTAAATTTCTATTTTAAAAAATGAGAAAAAAATGATAGAATTAAAATGATATTTTCCTTGAGCTTCCTTTCAGCTTCTTTCTGAGCTTTTATTGCTGCTTTGGCAGCTGCTTTCTCGGCCAACTTCTTATTCCTCTCCATTGCCTTCTTATTTTTGGCTATCTCATCCTCTCTCTTCATCTCCGTCAATTTCGCTTCATCAACTTCCTTGCTCTTGGGATTCATATCATTGGGTTGCTTTTCTAAACTATGGATTTCCTCTTCAATATCAAAGATGTACTTTTTCGTGCTACTTTCTATAACCTTGCTACTTGCTTCTTTTGGCTGCTTGCTATTCTTCTCTTTATGTATTTTCTGAGCAGGAGGTGCTGAGTCTTCCTTTAATGGTTTCGCATTAGTTCTTTCAACAATCTCAGTCTGTAAAACAGTCTGCGCCGCTGGTAACACTAGAGGCTTTTCGTCGGGGTTCCCCATCCTGCCATCTTGGCTCAACTGCCTAATATCAAGTGTTGTCAAAATTCTCCTCTCATAATCATCCTTAAATGGCTTACCACCACTCCATAGGGACATAAATTTATCGACCTGAAAAGATTGAAATTATTGTCAGAAAGAAACATGCAAAACTTACAAACTCTAGCAACTAAAGGCAGATTTGTACCTCTGTAAGTGAGAGTTGTTTGAGAGCTTCAACATCCTTCTAATTTTGTTTTTTGCAACAGTGCATTGTTTTAGCAAAAAGGAGAATTCTGATAAAATTAAATGACATAATAAAGATCATAAAATACATAAGACATCTCTCTTTCATGCTTGCAAGCAGATGATACATTTTATTTTGCAGAATACCTAGACGGCTACCTAAACTTGGCTCACTCTTTCAATTTGCTACCTCAATTTGGCCTTGTACCTATTGGCTACCTGTCTTTATTTACTTATGTGTCTATTAAATACTGCTCACTTACCTGGTACAAAACGTGAGTGTCACTTATATTGAGCGCGTGAACTTTTCATTTTTAGGCTGACATGGCTTTTCAACGGTAAAAAACAATAATTTTATCTCAACCCCTTTTATAAACCCACCAACATATAATCCTAAATTCATTTTTTCTCTTTCTTCTCTCTTCGAACATTGCTGAAGAAAGAGCCCTAATTTATCTCATCTTCTTTCTTTGTAAATTTGCCATAGTAGACCTACTCCCAATTCTTTCCCTATTAAAGCCCTAATTTTTCTCATCTTATACTCTCTTCTTAGACAACAATTATAGAGCCCAAATCCTACAATAAGATTGGTAAAAATGGTGTATTTATGTCGATATGGGCATGTTGCATTGTTTCAAACATCATAGATTGATAAAAACTCAGATCGTAGGTTCTATTGCTGCCACTTAGGCAAAGTAAGTGTATTTTGTCTATTTTTTTGATAGCCTAAATCTTCAGACCCTCATCAAATCGCAATGCTTATCTATTCTTTTGATAACCTAAATCTATTCTTTATTGCATGCTCCTAGTGTAGGTAAATTTTTTAGGTGGCAATATGATCAAATGTCGGAGCAAACAAGGAGAGTGATTTCTGGTCTTTTGAGGAAAGTTAATACATATGAAAAAGAGAGGGTTCGGTCAAAGTGGATAATTGTTGTACTTGTTGTTTACATAATCTGGACTTAGTTTAGGGATTCTACTTAGTTTATTTTAGAGTATTGGTATATATTATGAGATGGTGCTAAGGCAATGTACTTAGGGTCAATGTAATATGCAATTTTTTCCTCAATTGTGTACTGATTAAATGCATCACTAATATGAATATTCGGGTTAAATTTTATGCCCTATTTTGACAGAAGTTTTCAGCTTGTATTGGATTTGTAATTCTTGATAGTGATAACTTCCAATAACAATGATAATGAATAATGACGAATACCAATCACAATTACTCAATGACAAATACAGTAGATATATAGCTGATTATAATGAACTCCCAAGTTAAACTAATCAGCTAAGGCAAAATAAATAGACACAAAAAACTAGTCAGCCAAGTAGGTTACATAAACAAAATAAAAGTTTAAATTGTCCTACTAAGTCCGGCTATTTTAAACAACTAACAACATCCAAAATATTAACTAAAACAAAGACTTTCCTATATAAACTAATTGTCACTTGTTCTTCTTTCATGGAGGTGTTGTTGTGTTGCTTCTTCTAGTTGACACTCTCATTTGTTGTAGCTGGGCAGTTGTTATTGCCTTTCTTCCCTTCTATTTCAGGCTATGTGATTTAAAGCCAATATCAATATTGGTACCAGATGCACTCGTAAAAGATGTTCCACCCATGATAAGTCTTTCACCAGTTGTACCAGGCTAAAATCACCCAAATAATTACACTTCATCAGTACCAATTGTAAGCATCACATTCTGGTAAATTTAAAAAATTCATTGTTTACTTACATTTAGTATTGTCCTTGATGTTTCAGGGTCTACATATAACCCAAATGCAGTTTGTTTTTGTTTCTTTTGTCCTCTAACTCCTCCACCAACATCAGTTGGTTCTCTTACTAGAATAAATGGCCCCCTGCGTCCATCTTCAGAAGCATTTTCCCTTTCTCTCTTTATTCCATCAGTAGTACCCCTCCCTATTCCCCTACCTCTTCCTCCAGCAGTAGTACCCCTCCATATTCCCATACCTTTTCCTTCACCAGTAGTACCCCTCCCTATTCCCCTACCTCTTCCTTCAGCAGTAGTACCCCTCCCCATTACCTTACCTCTTCCTCTAGCAGAGGTTATCAAATGGTGTAGGAAGATTATTGAGCTAAAAGTGGTAAAGAATGGGTTGTGGGATGATGAAATCCTTAATGCACACCTAGTATTTGGTAAAATGCTCAAATGAGCTAGAACCATGATCATCTTCCTAATTTTGATTTAATTTGTTATATTTCTAAAATAGATTGAAGTTGCTAAGAATTCCGGAACATTTTAGAGTTTAAGGAAGCTCAGTTGAGGTATGTTGGCTAAACTACTATCTTAGAATTGAATTCTATGATGTTCCCGTAAGTTTCAAGTATGGTTGACTCAAGTTCCTTATTCTATGTTCCGAGTTGTTCTCAATAAATTCGATAGTCCCGAATAAGCAAAGTGTCGAGAATTATGTATTCAAAACGTGTTCTGAATGTTCCTATCATAGTATGTTATACTTTGGGAATGTGTTCAAGAATGATATGTGTATTAAAATGCTATGTCTTGAGTCGTATTTCAAATAAAGGTTATTATGCCAAATTGTGTGAGAAAATATCAATATGCTTAAGACTCTTAATTATTCATATGTGTACCTAAAGTCTTGATTGGAAATATATTGTTGTTGATAATTTATAAAGATACTTGAAAATGAAATAAGTGAATTGGGGATATAAAGTGCGGCTAACATGCCAAGAATGAAAGTTATTGTCACGCCCCGAACCTGGGAGCGAGACCGACACCCGGTGCCTCACCTAACCTGACATACCAAATTGCGACTAAGGGACTCTAATCATATAATGTCATAATTTGGCCATAGGGCCACCTTGCAAGATAATTTGTGAAGCAAAATATAAAACTGAATGGAAACTAGCGCTGACTAAACATCAATATAAAGCTAGGCCGACAAGGCCGTCCTAACTACTACAACTGACAAAGCACCAAAATATACATACCGGGCCTACAAGCCCAACATACTGCACTAACCAACATGATATGTCTACAAGCCTCTACTGATGGATATATTGTGATCGGAACAGGGCCCCGACCTACCCATAACATATATACATACATACAGAAGATGTACACGAAAACCTAGACCCGATAACTCCGAAGGATGTGGAGCTTACCGATCAGGTTAAACTCTGGAAACACCTATTGAAGAGGTTTACCCGTCTGTCTATCTGAACCGGCATGCATGAAATGCAGCGTCCCCAGAAAAGGGACGTCGGTACGAAATAATGTACCGAGTATGTAAGGCAATAACATAACTGAAAACTGAAATTGAACTGATAATATAATAACTGGAAGTAACTGGGAGTCAAAGATGATCTGGAAATATACTTACATGCTGATACTGACTCAACTCCTTCAATATAGTAAGTAAAATAAATGTCTGGCCCTATAAGGCTCGGTACGTGTAACTGCTCGGCCGTAGTAGGCTCGCTCATAGGCGTTCGGCCATACTAGGCTCTGAATCTTGGTCATCCTGGGCTCACTCATAGACGCTCGACCACAGTAGGCTCGGTATATATAACTTACCATCTGATCAGAGGTTGCCCAATAAGGGCCTGCCTACCGATTATAGCTCGATGGTGGTGAAAATATTGTAATACTGTATATGTATAGGCCCTCTGCTCTCTTGACTGGAAGAAGACAATACTAAATTGAATATAGAGTCTCGATAAGGAATAATACTGTAACTTATGAGATTAGAATAATATGAATAAATTCATGAATACGAACTTCTCTTTATATCTCATTATTAACACTTGTAGCTACGAGATCATGCCAAAATAAAGGAAGGGCTTAACCTTAACATACCTTATCACAATTTTTCCAATCACCAAGTTGAACTCGTCTCTTTTCACCTTAATCTACAACAAATATAATAGTACTATCATTAAGTTATGAAACGTATAACTGTCGCACAATGAACGACATGCTTATTTTGTATTAAAAAGGATAGCATCTCCTCTATAATCCTTACTTCCTCCAAATTCAAGATAACACCAACAACACCAAAAACAACAATAAAAACATATATACATTATTTTCCAACCTTATGTACACCACACAATACTACAAAATAGCCCAATATACCTCAATCTCTTCATACACAAAACGACCACCGTAGTAGTGTCAACAACCCGAAAATGTTACGAAGAACGACCAGCTCAACATACCTCATTTATGTGGTGTTTCTCCACAACCTTCATCCTCCAAAACTCCACAAAACAATAGTAAATCACGCAGCCCAACAGCAACACCAAACAGTCCACAAAACAATTCACAAAACAGTCTGTTACAAGTGAATAACTCGAACTCACGGCTTCCGATCACCGTCCCGTGAGTTCTTATAAATATAGAACAACTTACCATACATCTACAACTATAAAAAATGATTGAAATATAGAAGTAAACTTACATTATTTGCGGGATAACTCCGCTCCTATCTTGGTTCTTCAAACTCCAGGCTTTACCTCCAATTAGAACTTGAAAGGGAGAGAAAATCAATTGGGGTTTGTGGGAAATTTTTGGGAGGATTTTTGCAGAGATTAAGTCTGGTTATTTTGCCCTATTATAATCCTAATATATGAAGGGGATAGGCCTTTAAAAAGGCCTCTTTGAACGACCCAAACTGGCCCAGTTTTGGACGACTCGAACTGGCCCAGTTTTGGACGACTCGTTTAAGCAAGTAGGTGATAGTCTGCGCAGTCTCGCAAAAACGTCCATATCTCTCTACTCTGATATCGTATTGACAAACGGTTTAATGCATTAGAAATTAGACTCATAGAACTTTAATTTGATGAGTGGAATACCCCATAATTCTAAGTATATTGGGAGAAAATCGCAGTTACAATTGACCCAAAGTTTCAGTAAAACTTATGAACGTAACTTGTGATGACTTTCATCGACTTTTGTTACACCACTCGCTTGACTTCAAACTATAACACACAACTATCATACGAATAACATAACTCATAATATAACTTCCTTATCATGTTAAACACTCTGGTCTCACCCCAAAATTACATGCTATAA